AGGGTTTTTTGCCTGCCGTCTGTCTGCAGACTTGTCAAAGCATTAATTCATAGATTTTACTAACCGGTATCAGTATGTTGTTACTTCGGCATCATTTTGAAACGTGTATTTAAATTAAATCACGTCATTTATGTTCATCTTGTTGTAGTTGTAGCCCCCTTGCCAGCGATTCTCTCTCTAGTTTAGCATACTCAGCCCGACTCAGCCTGGTTGTTCCTGGCCCTAGAACCACGATTTTATGGGGCCAGAAAAACTGTGAATTAGGACCCGCTAGCCGGTACTAGGCCAAGTGGAAACGCAACCAAAAACGGGGCCTGCACGGCTCGGCACGCTTAAAGCGAGCTACCCGCTGCAGTGGAAACGCGCCATAAGGCAGTTGCCTCCTTTTTCACTGACACAATTCAGAAAATCAGACAAGCAGTCAGTGCCTCTGCATCAGGAACAGCAAATGTGTTGTCCCTATCTCCACTTAACATCAATTCAGACATCATGACACAATTCCATCAGATTAATGATAAAAACCTAGAGGACATTATTCAACTTCTGAAATCCTCCTCTTGCTGCCTTGATATTATTCCAACAGGATTTTTCAAATATGTTTTGCCTTGCATGGCCTCAGATCTACTTCATATAGTAAACAAATCTCTTCACTCAGGTGTTTTTCCACAGGCCCTGAAAACTGCAGTCATGAAACCGCTCTTAAAAAAGAATAATCTAGATGCTTCAGTAATGAACAATTACAGGCCCATATCAAACCTCCCATTTCTAGGTAAAATCATTGAAAAAGTTGTTTTTCAACAGTTGAGTAATTTCTTGCATTTAAATAACTGTTTTGATGTGTTCCAGTCAGGCTTTCGTCCAAACCACAGCACTGAGACTGCTCTTGTAAAGGTCTTTAATGACATCCACTTAAACACAGACAGTGGCAGAACTTCAGTGTTAGTATTATTAGATCTCAGTGCTGCGTTTGACACTGTTGACCACAGCATATTACTAGACCGACTGGAGAACTGGGTGGGACTTTCGGAAACAGTTCTGAATTGGTTTGAATCCTACTTAAAGGACAGAAACAACTTTGTTTCTATAGGCAAATACACATCTGAGTTGACAAATATGACATGTGGGGTTCCTCAAGGCTCCATCTTGGGGCCTCTTCTCTTTAACATCTACATGCTACCACTGGCTCAGATAATGAAGAACAACAAAATAAGTTACCATAGCTATGCAGATGACACACAAATTTACGTAACAATTTCACCAGGAGACTATGCTCCAATTCAAACACTGAGTAAGTGCATTGAACAAATCAATGACTGGATGTGTCAGAACTTTCTCCAATTAAACAAAGATAAAACTGAGGTAATGGTTTTTGGAGCCAAGGCAGAACGTATAAAAGTTAGCGCTGAGCTTCAGTGTGCAATGTTCAAAACAACAGATAAAGCCAGAAATCTAGGTGTAGTCATGGACTCTGACCTGAGTTTCAACAGTCACATTAAAACTGTTACTAAATCAGCCTACTATCACCTAAAGAATATATCTAGGATTAAAAGACTAATGTCACAGCAGGATTTGGAAAAACTTGTCCATGCTTTTATCTTCAGTAGACTTGACTACTGCAATGGTGTCCTCACAGGTCTCACTAAAAAATCTATTAGGAAGCTGCAGCTAATTCAGAACGCTGCTGCTCGAGTCCTCACTAACACTAAGAAAGTGGATCACATCACTCCTGTTCTGAAGTCTTTACACTGGCTTCCTGTGTGTCAAAGAATAGATTTCAAAATACTGCTGCTGGTTTATAAAGCACTGAATGGTTTAGGCCCAAAATACATGTCTGACCTCCTGCTAAATTATGAACCATCCAGATCTCTCAGGTCTTCAGGGACTGGTCAGCTTTCTGTCCCCAGAGTCAGAACTAAACATGGTAAAGCAGCGTTCAGTTATTATGCTCCAAATATCTGGAACAAACTCCCAGAAACCTGCAGGTCCGCTACAACTCTGACTACTTTTAAATCCCGGCTGAAGACTTTTCTTTTTGTCGCTGCTTTTAATTGAACTATTCATATCTTAGACTGCACTGTAACTTTTATCCATGTACTTTTTTCTTTTAATGTTTAATTGACAGCACTGTAACTTTTATCCATGTATTTTTTCTTTTAATGTTTATTTTATTAGCTTTTCTTTTTAATGACTGATTTTAAATGCCATTTTCTTAATCTCTTTCATTTTTTGTAAAGCACTTTGAATTGCCTTGTGTTGAAAAGTGCTATATAAATAAACTTGCCTTGCCTTGCCTTGCCTTGCCTTGCCTTACTGTGGCCCTGGCGGAAATCAGACTGGAATTTTTCAAAGAGTTTATTCAGTGTTAGATGTTCCTGGATCTGAATGGCAATTACTTTCTCCAGTACCTTGGGTAGGAATGGCAGGTTGGAGATGGGTCTGTAATTGGCTAGGACTTCAGTGTCTAAAGTGGGTTTTTTGAGGAGTGGTTTGATGACAGCAGCTTTTAATGGTGGTGGAACATGACCAGACTGCATGGACTCGTTTATCACTGAAGTGATCAGCGGACTTATGGCACCAATGTTCGATTTAACCAAAGCTGTGGGAAAGGGGTCCAGGGCACAGGTGGAGGGTTTCATCTTTTGATGATGGCCTCAACTTTATGCTGCGAGATGTTAGTGAAGCAGCAAAGAGGCTGGGTCGGTCCAGGCTGGGGGTTGACGGTCAGGACTGGCAGAGCAGCGGAGTATTCAATGCAGCGAGGGCCTCTCTTAGTTCTCTTTCTGCTCCAATGAAGTTGGTTCCATTGTCTGACCTCATATGAACAACTTGACCTCTTCTACTGATGAAACGTCTTAAACATAATAAATGGCACACTGACAGCGAACATTTTACTGCACCATCATTACTTTTACATAAGAATGTGCCGTAAAATGTTCTGTTAACCTCTTCTACACCGCACCCCCGATACCGGAGGGAAAAACGTGTCATCTGAGGAAACAGTGTCTGAGGGCATCTTAATATTTAATAAACTATGAATGTTTTATATCCATGCAACGGGAAGAAACTCATCTAACTGATCTTTTTTTTTTTTTTTTTTTAAACCCACAATGAGCCTCTGAATTAGCAACGAGCAAAAAATGCTAACAGATAACTGCACAGAAACTCACTCATAAAACCCTTATTATTGATCTTCTCTGCACATCCAACCCATCGATTCGCATCGTGAGAAGACACAGAATCGATACATTATCACTCTATGATAAGAACTCGCGGAGATAATAACAAGAACAGACATCAAAACATGTGGCGCTAGGTAGCTAAAACCGGCAACATGGCCTACCTTGGTCGTTGTCTGGTCAAAACTGGTCTTCAATGGGATTAACGCTGCTGAAGTTAATCCATAGGTTAATCCAATGTGTCTGTGTCCCTTTGAAATGATTTCTGATAATCCATAAGCAATAAACCCTGTTTTTCCATTTCCAGATGTCAGAGCGAGAGATAGCTTCACTCTCATGCAAAACTACATAAGCAAAGCCCTCACCTTTTTGTGTTAACATTGGTGTCTATGTGAAAACTCCCCTTCGATTCTATTGGCTCTAACGGTCAGAAAGAGATGTTAATCACCAAAATCGACCAATGGGTAACAGAGAAAAGGTAAAAACGCTCATTTCCATCCAAATCACCCCAGAGGTGGAATTATTTTTGCTAAACCTCTCTAAAAAGGTCAAATGTCACTTGTTTTGTATCAATCTCGATACAGGGTTGTACTGTACTTATTATATGTTCTACTTTGGATTTCTAAAGCTTTTAGTCTACCTTACCATCATCCAAGGGTAGTTTTCACTGTAAGTGAAAAATAATCTTTGGACGGACACTATAATTTACAGTTTTTTACTATGTTCAATCTGAATTTTCTTTAAAATAAAAAAAACATCTATATTGATTATGACTCTTCTACATCCAACTCACAGGTTTATCATTACTTTGAGAAAAAATATTATTAATTTAACCCTTTTAGAAGTGTAGTTATGGTCATTTGTTCTGGAAATGTTTTTTTCGAGCCTGAGACTTAAAAAACAGACACAGGGTTTAACAGGTTAATATTTGCATACTTAAATAAGTTTTGAATGCAGGATTTTAATTTGTAACCGAGTATTTTCATTCTATACTGTAGGCGTAGTGTATCTGTGAACGATCCCAAATACAATTCATTGTTTACATTGCAGCTAGTGCTAAGCCAGAAGAAAAAACCCTTTTTCATTTTTAACTGGAAGTGGAAAGGGGCTGGGCTACATAAGGTGAATTGAGCCAACAAAAATACACAATAGGTGGGACTAAGAAAGATAATGTGAAAATATAAAAACAAAGGCATGAAGTAGGGCTGCAAAATGTCTCCCATTGTAATGGCGATTAGATTTTTAAATGCTAAGACTTAACAGTTTGTTCTAACTGTGTGTTTCCTGTTTCCTGCAGATGTCCAGCTGCTGGTGGTGGTTAAAGAAGAGCCTCTCCCTGACCAGCAGGAGTGGAGCACCAGTCTGGACCAGGAGGACCCAGTGCCCCCCCCACACATTAAGCAGGAACAGGAGGCACTCAGGATCAGTCAGCAGGGAGAGCAGCTTCAGGAGCTGGAGGAGGCTGATATCACCAAGTCCACTTTCACTCCTGACCCTGTGAAGAGTGAAGATGATAAAGAGAAACCTCAGTCCTCACGGCCTCATCAAAGACAAACTCAACACATGGAAACAGAAGCTGATGGAGATGACTGTCGAGGACCAGAACCAGCCAGGAACTCAGATCCAGAGAGCAGTTTACAACCAAAGACTGAGGACGACACTGAAGAGTCTTCTGAACCTGACACTGGAGACTCTTCTGAACCTGACACTGAAGACTCTTCTGAACCTGACACTGAAGACAGTGCTGATTGGAAAGAGACCAGAGAACCTGCTTCAGGCTCAAACTCACTGAAAAATAGACATGAATCTGTCAGTGATCCACAACGTAGTGCTGAAAATAAAACATTCAGCTGCTCAGTCTGTAAGAAAGCTTTTTCAAATAATGGAAATTTAAAGGCACACATGAGAATCCACACAGGAGAGAACATCTTTAGCTGCTCAGTCTGTACCAAACCTTTTACAAATAATGGAATTTTAAAGGAACACATGAGAATCCACACAGGAGAGAAACCCTTTAGCTGCTCAGTCTGTACCAAACCTTTTACACATAATGGAAGTTTAAAGGAACACATGAGAATCCACACAGGAGAGAAACCCTTTAGCTGCTCAGTTTGTACCACATATTTTGTGCATAGAGGAAGTTTAAAGGAACACATGGGAGTCCACACAGGAGAGAAACCATTCAGCTGCTCAGTCTGTAACAAATCTTTTGTGCATAGAGGAAGTTTAAAGGAACACATGAGAGTCCACACAGGAGAGAAACCATTCAGCTGCTCAGTCTGTAAGAAATATTTTGCAAGGAAAAGATGTGTAAAACGACACATGAGAGTCCACACAGGAGAGGAAAAATAGAGCTGCAATGTTTGTGACAAAATATTTAAATGGCGTAATCGTTTCAAAAGACACAAGTGTGTTGGTCGGCAGATGCTTCTGTAACTGTAAGGGAATACATTTGTATGGTTTGTATCCTGATGACCTAATGCTGTTACATGTAATACTTTACTCCCTAAGCCTGATTTCACCCACCTGCAAACGATTCGCTAATAATCACATATGTTCATTTCTTTGACACCTTGACTCGACTATTTCTTGTTTAATAATCGTTACATCTCCTCAGGACCAAGTTCCCGTGTCCTGCCTTTCACCTGCTGATCATCGACTGCTCATTTAAGGTGGACTGACCTTTACAAGGGACCAGCTAGTCTTAGTGTCTTAATGTAAACGTTTTGTAAAGTGATGCTAGACCAAAAACGTGTTGTTGGGTTGTGTGCTCTCTGCAGGACGGTGTCTGTACTCAAAGATTGTTTATGAAATGAGAGCTTCACTCTATTTTTGTTGTCTAAACAATGCCAACAGTGCAATACGTCTTATTTCCATCAGATGGCATAAATGTTACATCATCCAGTTCAACTGTCATCCACATATTAATGATTCAAAACAGCAATGTGTAAGATAGGGCTAGTAATTGACTATTTCAACAGAATGTGAAGAGGTTACAGTCTTGAGGCCATGTCCAATATGTTTATGTTTTGTTTGGTTAAATCTACTGAAATGAGCATTCAATGACTAAATTATTCTTAATTACTCTCATTACATCATGGGTTTGCATTGCAATATTAGAACGCATTAAACCCAACTTTATTTCTTCCAAGTTGCGGGTGTTCATTGTTTAGTAGTCCGCTGTGTTTCATCCAAGCTTCCACTTCGTGCTCCGATAATGTATCTGTTGTATGCTTTACCTGCTCCAGTAACAAAAGTGTAATTCACTGGACAGAGACAAGAGATAGTGGATGAATCCCGAAAAGAACCAGAAGATAGTCCGTATAGAGCCTTTAGGTTCTGAAAATGATCAGGGACAGAGCTAGAAAAAAACTCCAAAGAGCTGAATAGAGCTAGAAGATAGCCAGTACAAAGCCAAGAAAGACCCAGTAGAAAGACAGGAAGGAGCCAAAAGAGTTTGTATTTTTTAATATTCAAGCTCTTCTCTTAAGATATTAGAACTTCCTATCTCAACATGTATCCTTTTATTCCAATGAAAAAAAACCTTACATTTTTGCTGCCTATTGTTGAGATTGTTTCACAGCTTTTTCTTAAATATTTAGACTTGTTTCTTTACATATTGATTACATAGGATGAACAGCACGATCCACTTCTGCCCAAATCGGCTCAAAATGCATGCAAACATCTCGCTGTATCTATACTGCTGCAGTTGTATTGTTCTGGATTCATAGTGAAGTATATTAGATGTTCTGCACTCTTATTGTTATGTATTTAATATAAAGTGAAATACCCATAAAGTCAGAAAAGAAAAGAGACTCACTTAAGGAAAGAGGTTCTGAACCAGTGAGAGTTCTTCATTTGCACATAAACATGGTCAAATATATAAAGGGGACATATCATGCTATATTTGAACATTATATTGTAGGGCCATACCTATATAAAATATATAATTATAGGTTTTTTTTCAAAATACAAAACAGATCCTGCATTTTAGCCATGCCTCATTTCGCTCTATTTGCTCTTTCCAGTGCTGTTTTTGCAGGGGGATGATTCTGTGAGCTGTAGCAGACCACGCCCCCCTGAAGGAGAGGGGAGCGTGCTTTGAGATCAGCTGCTGGGCTGTCAGAAGAGGGGGAGAAAAAGAGATCTCCGTCCTCCGTGTTTTATTCTTATAGAAGTAAGAAGAGAAGTAACGGGGCAGAAACCCTCCTTTTTACTCAGCGGTCCAGACATAGACGTCAAACGGCGACACATATTCAGTTGCCAGTTACTTTGGCATTAGGGCAGGGATATCTAGATACTTTCCAAGGTTTGACATAATGAATTGTGCTACTTTTAAAGCAAGCAACAATGTTTTCAAATCTGTAATCAAAAAGCTCCTCAAAAACGCTATCGAAGCAGTTCCTGCCGTTGCTACGTTAATTCAAACAGTAACAACGGACTATTTTTCTTAGCGGATGCATGTCAATTTAAATCAATACTGTAGAGGAAACTTCTGTGTAGCTATGCAGTGGGAGTCAGCTAGCTGACATTAACGTTACACATTACACTCGTGTTACTCACTGAAACCTTGTAAAGCCGGTCCCGCATGAAACCGACTAACTCCCCTTTTGTGTATGTACAGTTCTCAACATGGCCAGACTTGTAGTGATTTTCACCTCTTTTAGCTTCATTCTGAAAGAAAGAGGTGAAACGTGACGGCCATCTTAGTGTTGGTGACGTATGCACAGTGGCGACTGGTCATTCGGGGCAGGTGGGGCACAGCCCCACCTAGTGTCAGCAGAAAGTATTAAAAGTAATGATTACAAAAAAATGCAAAAAATAAATTAAAAAATATATAAAATATATTTTAAGATCATGTTTATTCATCTGATTCGTCTGTACATTTCTGTTTTAGTCTATGTTCTTCTAATTAGTGTCTACAGTGTGTGCCTATTGAGCTGTTTTAAGCCATGTGGGACAAAACCCGATCATGCCCCTCCCTCTCCCTGTTTAAGTCAATGGTGACTGTAAAAACTACACTGCGCATGCTCAGAGTATTGTCCTATTTAATGTGTGTGGCAAAAAAATAATGACCATAGGGGCATAGTGCTGCCATCCCCACCATACGTCATCTCACATCATTCAGAGCTGATTGGCTGTAAGTACGTGTGCCGCGAAAAGTGTGGTGTGTGAAGAGGAGACGAGAGAGCTGCAGTGAGGCGTCCTAAAACCAGGAAATAAACTGCGCATGGCTTCCCTCCACAAAAAAGCAATGATATTTCTCCATAGGATTTTAGAAAATAGCTCAAAATAAGATCTGTGGGAAACAAACCTGTTAGATAAATGCACGTTTTGTTCAGCCGGATAATATCCACATGTCTACCCTACTTTTATAATTTTCGAATCATAAATCTATTGATTAGATTAGATTTATGATAGACTTTTGAAACTACAAGAACATAAGGAGGACTTTTACAAAAAAGTAATAGAGATTTTTGTCCAGAAGGATAGACAAATGGACTTCATCTTCATGTCAAGGTAAGACTGCAATTTGATTGAAAATGGGATCTTACTGAGAGAGAACAATTCAATATTTAAATGATACAATTACATTTTTTGGGTATCCTTTTGTTGAACTGTCTGTTTAAAATTAATTGAAGCATCAGACAAAAAAAGCTTTTGAAAATAATATGATATTTTGATTTAGGTCAAAATATAATATTTGTAAACCTGAAGAGTCAGAGCCTCACCAGCCATGAACCTCAGAAGCTTATATATAGACATCTAAGTTTTTTGTGCCCCACCACTTTTGTACATATAAAAACGCCACTGCGTATGCAAGACCAGAGTTGTAGTTCATTGAGCGCTTCACACAAACAAATGTGTTACTTCACAGTTTTACGGCACATTTTTATTTTTTGACTTGCAAAATTATCTTTTAAATTGACAAACATCATATGTGTAATTCGTTCCACAATTCAAACGGGATCAAAAGATAATCTTTCTCTCTCCATTGACTTCAATGCATACTTTTTCCAAAATAAGGTCCCATGGAGGTCCCCCGGAAGGGGAGGGACTTCGCCACTCTATAAGCGGGATAATAACACCTTCATGCCGACCTAGATCCCTCCGCTTCGCGTCGGGCTCCTGATCAGCCTGTCGGTGTTATTTTCTCCATAATGACCGCGTCACTGTACATTATCCCTTACATATAATAATAATATATTTTATTTATAAGCGCACTTTTCATTTGCGTAAACAAAACTCAAAGTGCTACAAAATTAAAAAGGGTGAAACAATACAATACACAATACATATGATTATATAGAGTCATTATTCATTTGTTTTAAAGCAGGAGGCACAAACTCTTGCCTTGGGGAGGGAGAAAAAGAGCCACAGCGGAGAATAAACAGAAGGGCAACCATGGCAACCATGAGCAAGAAGTCTTCTTCGCTGCTTTTGTGGCAGACTACAGCGCCACTTACAGGCCTGGCATATGTACTACAGGGTCTCCAGTTCTTTCGAGCGGCAATGGCCGGCAGTGGCCCAACCTCTCATTCCCCTGATAGGTGAATAATTGACCACTAAGCGGAGCACCCCTTTTGTGACGTAGAAAATAATTCAAATCTGGATCAGTCTGTATCAGATCCGTTACAGCCCCTTTTTTTTTAGAGATTTGGGTATAGAGGAAAAGAGAGAGGGTTGTATTTTCTGACACTTGGTGAGTTCCCTGACACACCGGAGAGACACTTATTCATGTATAAAAAGACGTACAAGAGTGCATTTTGCATGAAAGGTTCCCTTTAAAGTTGTGACCAGATTGTGTCGCCCTAATCCGTGTATCCACGGTCCATTTGTTTTTCTTTATTACACAAGTAAGTGGAAGAGCGTATGAGAGACCTTTTCGTTTTTGTTTTTTACCTTACTAAATGGTCTAATGGTCATTGGAGCGAGGGGCGGGGCGAAACTCGCAAAAGTGATTTCAAAACAAAAGCACTCGTTTGCTTGGAACGGTGATATTATATACAAGGGGAAACAAGGTGAATATTGCAATCACAACAAAAACGGCCAAGACACATATTGAGCCCAGAAAATGAATGTTATTATAGCTTTTAGTTACTAGTTAGATATAGATTATTAGATAATTCAAAACATAAATCAATTATTAAAAACACATTGACAGATATTTATAGTTTAAGATATCCAGCAGCAGGACATCAAGTTATTCAAGTTAGCTCTACATTTTCTAACTGTGATAAAGCACATCAATAATCATTATAGTAACACAATGCAATTCTGAAAAGAGCCATTATGCATAAGGAGTACTTTTACTGTTGGTACTTTAAGTATAGTTTGATGCCAATGCTTTTGTACTTTTAACAGAGTATTTTTACCCTGTAGTATTTCTACTTTTACTTTAGTAGAATATCTGAGTACTTCTTACACCACTGCTACCATGAATGTGGAGCTGTGTGCTACAAAAGCCTCAAATGTAAAGCAAGTTGTAAGCGAGGCTCCATTTGTAAATGAGGAAACAGTTCAGAGTGTCAGCGCTGCTCCTCCTCCTGGAATGAGTCAGAGTTTGATGAGCCCTCCCTCTTCTTCCTGCTCTCAGACACAGCCAGCTCCACTCTGTATTTCCTGGCTCCTCCCCTTTAGATCCACACTGAGAAGGATGGGTGTAACCAACATGTGGGTAAAGTACAAGAGCTGATAGGCCACATTCACTGCACACACACATCCTGTTCAGATCACAGCTCACATAGTTTCAGGTTTCAGGAAGTGAAACTCAGACACTCGCTGCCACTGAGAGGTGAAATGGCGCAGAAAGGAGTTCAGCTGGACCGGGAAACCTTCTCTTGTTCTATCTGTCTGGATATACTGAAGGATCCGGTGGCTACTCCCTGTGGACACAGCTACTGCATGAAGTGTATTACAGGCTTCTGGGACGGAGAGGATGAGAAGGAGATCCACAGCTGCCCTCAGTGTAAGCAGAGCTTCACACCGAGGCCTGTCCTGCTGAAGAACACCATGTTAGCAGCTTTAGTGGAGGAGCTGAAGAAGACTGGACTCCAA